ATTCTGTAAGTTTGACAAGAGTTTCAACGATTTACATTTTAAAGAGATTATCTAGTAATGTTTAATTTTGTGAAATTTGCACTAAATAGCACTAAATTACTAAAACATAAGTCATTTCTTAAAGTAGGATTTAAATATTTTTATTTCCTAAATAGTACTTAATAATGTCTAATAGGAGGAATAATGTCCAGTGATGATGGACATTTACGTGAATAATGATTAATGGATAATGATCAATGGTCCTACATTGAGAAATAAAAACATATGGTCATATATTAAAAAGTCATTATATTTTAGTCCATTTTTGATAAATTTCTCTCTAATTTTTACATTTTTATTGATTATTTAATGTAATAAATGTTTTTGTCATCACTCAATTTGAAAAATTTGTGACATAATTTTTAGATATGTGAATTTTATTTTTTATTTTTTAAATAAAATAAATTTTAAAAAATTAAAATTTTGTTTCTTATTGTCTAATGTGGTAAATATTTTAGGATGGGTAGTAGATGTTATTAGAGTTAAAAAATGTGGCAAGTAGAGACGGAAGTGTTATTTTCATTAGTGGTTGATTCTGCCCCTCAACTTATTCCTAAATTTGGTATCAGAAAATACAAAAGTAGAAAAGTAGGGAGGAAAATAATTGGTTGGTTCAGCCAAAAGGAAAATGTTTCTAGCTGGACACAGTTATTGAAAGAATATAGAGGAAATAGTAATGGATCACAATAAAATCATTTAAATTCTTTATTTCAACTTTTACAAATTTTTTGATACTTTATATTATTTTGTTGTTAGTATTTGTTCAGTTTTGATTTTTACAATCAAAATTAATGAGCTTTGATCATTAATTAAATAAAATTGATAGTAAAAATTGATTAGAAAATAATTTTATTAGATTTGTTTTTATATAATATTTTCAAAATATTATTTTATTTTTTCAATGCACCAAATTAATTTTATTTAATTAATAGTCAAATGTTGAAAATAGTTGTCTACAAAAAATCAGAGTTAGACAAATACTCAGGAGCCGGGACGGTATATCTTGGAAAAAAGTTTAACCTTTGAATTTAGAATGTAAAAGAAATTTGTAGATGAAATATGTCTAAAAAAAGTTTATGAATTGCATTTTATTTAAGAAGACGATAAAGTACAAATTTGTTTTGTTTTAGTTGCATGTGTTGTCAACTCTCTCTAAAGTGCTAGTTGAGTTTTTGCAACTCTAATTGACATAATTTTTTTGACAATCGAATATGTTTTATTTGTTGTGTTGTTTTAGTCGTTTTGTGTTAAGTAGAAGGTTATTTGAATCGATTATTAGGAATAACCGATTCAAATGCTTATTAGCTTTTTGGATCGGTTATTCTTAATAACCGATTCAAAAAGTTATTTGAATCGGTTATTAGGAATAACCGATCCAAAAAGCTAGTAAGCATTTGAATCGGTTATTCCTAATAACTGATTCAAATAACTTTTTGAATTGGTTATTAGGAATAACTGATTCAAAAATGTCTGATAAAACACCATCTAATCCTATCTTATCCTTACACAATTTTGAAAAAAACTGATAGAATTAAGGATGGAGTGTAGACAATCGGGTTGGACAATAAGACACTTGCATTGAACCACATTAAAAGATTCAATCTAATCGATTAACTAGTTCAAGCCAAGAGCTTATATACCAGTTATTTTGCTCTTGAACTTCCGATGTGGGATGACACTCTAACACTCCCCCTCATTCCCTTGATTTTTTTGAATCTAACCGGTTGGCCACTTACAAATAAACCTCATTCCCTTGATTTTTTTGAGCGCCAACACCTAGAGGAAAGACTAACGGGCCGCTAGGAATGAACGTCTAGACGGACACCTTGACAAACGAGGTGGACTAAAACCTGTTTTGATACCATGATAGAATTAAGGATGGAGTGTGGACAATTGGGTTGGACAATAAGACACTTGCATTGAACCACATTAAAAGATTGAATCCAATCGATTAACTAGTTCAACTCAAGAGCTTATATACCAGTTATTTTGCTCTTGAACTTCCGATGTGGGATGACACTCTAACAAAAACCTCCAAACCCTTTCTGCGTCTTTGTCGTGTTCCTCGACGTTGCCCAACTCCTCCATGTCTTGCGCCTCGTTGTTGCCATCGCCGTCGTCCACTTCGCCCTCGTCCTCCTCACCCTCGCCGTCGTCATTGCCTCACCTCGCCGTTGTCGTTGCCTCGCCGTCGTCAACTCCCCAGTCTAGCCTCGCCGTCTCCGTGCCTAGCCTCACCGTCTCTGTTGTCTCGCCGTCCCCATGCTTGCTGCCGTGATACGGGATTAATTATTATTATTATTATTATTATTATTATTATTATTATTATTATTATTACTATTATTAATGGTTAGTGGTTATTATTATTATATTAGGTAGTATTATTATTTATGGTTAGTTAATTATATTATTATTAGAAAGTAATATTCTATTGTTAGGATATTTGTTACCATTTATAATTAGGATTCCTATATTATTTAGTTTTCTTCTATGGTAAGGATTCTTTAGATGTCCTAGCTATAAATGTATCCATTTCAATAAATTATTTATCAATGAATAAAGAAAATACTTTCTCCTAAACCTTAATCTCTCTCTTTCTCGCCTCTTTTGTTCTTGGAGCTTGAAGGTGCTCGAAATCCTTCTCTATCCCGATACGATTCCGTATCATGCCGCCTCGTGCCCTGCTGCCCCGCCTCGTCGTTGTCGCTTCTTTAAGGTATTTTCTTTATTTTTTTAACTTTAAATATTTAATTACACTATTATTTGTTTATATATTTTTGCATTATGTTAATATTTAATTTACTATATATTTGAATTGGTTTTGTGTTTATGTTTAAGTTGAAATATGACATTGTAATATAGATTGCGTTTCAAAAATAGATTGTTTAATTACTTTGTGTTTGATTCTACATGATCTGAGATGTTATAATATAGAAATAACATATATTGACTGACCTAGATACTCGTTTAAAATCTACTTATTAAGAGTAAAATTTTAAATAGCTCCCAGTTTGGAGCTGTTTTTGAAATGCTTCTCTCACTTAGGTAGTGAATGTATTTCTTTCTCTTTGTTTCGTCATTTTTTGGTTTGACGTTTCCTAAATGTGTTCTTCGGGTGCATATGTAATTACGTTACATCGTGCACTTGGAGAACAATTGGGAAATGCTGCCGAAATTTTGATAGGTCAAAGAAAATCAAATACATTTACTAGTGAGGGTGTCATTTCAAGAATGGGTTAGGATGGTGTAAAGAAGGACCATTTGTATAATGAAAAAGTGCTATCGGATTTTTGTTACATCATAAGAAATAAATATTGTGTTACCTGTATTTTTATATGTTTGTGTGTATATATAAAATGAGTGTTAATAATTTTTTTGTGCATTGTTTTGCATGTATTAATCATTTGCCCTTCTTTCTTGCTTAGCAATTCATATGATGGATAGAAGTTGCATTCATATGTCACGTACATCACCTGAGTTTAGTTCTGGTTTGGAAGAGTTTTATTCGTTTCGTAGAGAAACATTCAAAAGAATGAAAAAAAGATATATTGTCCTTGTAACATATATCACAACCATTTTATGGTTGATAACGTTAAAGATATAAGATTACATGTGTATCGCAAGGGTTTTGACCGAACATACCTACGATGGAAATGACATGGAGAGTTAGAAAATCCTTGTAGCTCTAGCTATACTCATAATGAACAAGTCAAAGATGATATTCACGACATCCAGAATCTTGAGGTTGAAATGGAAGATGAGTTAGGGGTCACTCAAGATGTTCCTCCTGTTCAAGTCCTCATTTATGAAGAGCGTAATATGTATGAGAACTTAGTAGGAAACTCAAAACGCCCGTTGTATCCTGGTTGTACAAAGTTTACACGTTTGAAGGGGGTTTTGGAATTGTTCAATTTAGAACTAGCAAATGGGTGGAGTGACAAAAGTTTCACGTCTTTATTAAGTTTGTTGGGTGAACTTCTTCCAGATGGACACGAATTGCCATCGTCCACTTATGAGGCGAAGAAAATGATGTGTTCAATGGGTGAGGGCTACAAGAAGATACATGTTTGTGTTAATGATTTCATTTTATATCGAAATGACTTCAAGGATCTCAATGAATGTCTCAAGTGTTTTGCTCCAAGATACAAGGAGTCAACCAAAATGACCCATAACAAGGACACTATGAAAAAAACTAAAAAGACTCCGGTTAAGGTTTTGTGGTACCTTCTAATAATACCAAGGTTCAAGCGTTTGTTTGCTTCGATAAAGAACGCTAAGAATCTAGTGTGGCACATAGAGCAGCGAAAAGATAATGGCACCCTGCGTCATCCTGCCGATGCCCCACAGTGGAAGACGATTGACTACACATTTCCGGAGTTTGGGAACGAGGGGAGAAACCTTTGATTGGGATTGTGTACTGACGGGATCAATCCTTTTGGAAAGCTTGAGTACGCAACATATTACTTGGCCGGTACTGCTTGTCATTTACAATCTTCCTCGAAAGTTGTGCATGAAGCACAAGTACATTATGCTATCGTTGTTAATACTTGGGCCTAAACAACCGGGTAATGACATTGATGTATTCTTAGCTCCAATGATTGATGACTTGAAGGAAATGTGGATTCATGGTGTCACAGTATTTGATGTTTATCGTCAAGAGTGTTTCACGTTACGTGCTATGATTTTTTGGACAATCAATGACTACCCAACATACAGTAACCTATCTGGTTATAAGATTAAGTAACCTAAGCATTTGCATCGCTGGCTTTTGCATCGGTTCAAAATCGATTTAAAAAGTCTTTTTTGTAGTAGTGAGTAGTAGTAATAATAATAATAATAATAATTAATAATAATAATAATAATAATCGTCTCGTAACACTCTCCCGCCTCGAAAGTCAACTTGTCCTCAAGTTGGAAATTTATTAAAAATTGGGTAATGTGCATCGTGACCGTCCATCCGCTAGGATCAAACACCTTTATCATCGGGAAGCGGCAAAAGAACCCGTCAATCTTAAAGCACTCCCAATACCAATCGAACAACTCTATGTAACCAACGGTATGAAATTTAAACCATCATTTGCAATAGCTTCAGAATTATTAAGGACAAATCCACTGCCTGACATTTCAAATTTTTCTATGCATCCATACAAGATCACATTGTTCCTGGAAACTTTCTCTTGGATAGAGTAGTTGTAGTGATGGTCGACCTTCTCAACATCGTCGCATGGAACAATAGTGACCACAACAAAAGGAACACCATTAGAAATAGAATCGGGCATTACCCCCATAACATCCTCTAGGGGATCATATTGTGAGGAGCCATACCTATTTTGCTCAGGTGCATGAGTAGACATTATCATGCGAATTTCCTCCTTTGTCGACTCGATTGGTTCAATGGGCTTATGCGACAACTCTTCTTTTGCCTTCTCAATAATGGACATCCAAACATCGTGACAAAAACCTGTAACCTTATAGAACCACGTTGTGTATTCCGAGCCCTTATCATTCGTAGGGTTCCAATCACTTTGGCCGATGCTGGAGCATGGCGCTCCACCATCGGTGCGTGTGCTCTTGTCCATCTTTGTGGCCAAGGCGTCAAGATTTTGTCGTGTGTCATGTAGTTCCAAGGCTAGATCCTGAATAGCATACATCACATCTTTCATCTGAATTGCATGTTTACACCCTGGTTCGGAAAGCATTACGAAGGTTGCCACCAAAGTATGCGATTGGTCCACTGACCAAAATGGTAAAATAAACATAAATTAGTATGTGTTGGTGGCTATGATTATCCAACTATAAAAATTTGAGGCTACTAGATTATGGTAGCGGAAATACAACTTTGACAGAAATTCTGTCAATGTTTTTTTTGGTTTTTTTGGATTTGTGATGTGTTCGAGAATGAGAGCACCAATTGATACAATATCATATCGTGATAGGGAAGGGTTTCGAGCTCCAAGAATAAAAGAGGAGAGAAAGAGAGAGAGATTATTAGGGTTTAAGAGAATGTATTTTCTTTATTTATTCATTGATAATACTATGATGATGAATACATTTATAGGCTCCAAATCTAGAGAATCTCAATAATAAATGGTAACTAAATATATTAAGAATCCTAATTATAAATGGTAACTAAATCCTAACAAATATCTAGTCTCTAATAATAATAATGATGATGATGATGATGATGATGATAACAACAACAACAACAACAACAACAACAACAACAACAATAATAATAATAATAATAATAATAATAATAATAATAATAATAATAATCATCTCGTAACACTAGTTGCGTAAAGCATGGACCTCTTTCATTGGAGTGTTGGGCTTTTTGGCGTTGACTGTGACCATGGGAACAATTGTGGTGCTCGATAGTCTAGGGCGTAGTGTGGGTTGGCGGCATATAAGCATGTGATCTTGGATAGGTAGATAAATTTGGAATAATACCAAGGGGTTGAGAGATGATAGAGTGGATAAGAGCCTAGAATACAAAAAACTACTCATATTCAAACTGAACTCGACAAGAGACATTCGTCTATTTAGAAATAGGATTTTATCACTCACGACCTTTAATGGTGGGATGATAACCAAGGAAGACACGTAAAGTAGAGAAAGGATAGACTTTGTGTTGGGTATGATGCTAAAGTCACGAGTATATGAGACAACCAAAAGAGTGTAGACTGGGATAATTAGGACTGGATGCCTTAGCTTGGATGAAGATATTATTAGACGTGATGTTGTGAATGCTGTTATTCATGCATGGTCTCCCTACCGCTCTTCTTTCAAATAGAATGTCAGCATGCAAAATGGAAACATGACTGTCAATCAGCTTTCTAGATGGCTTACCTCGTCGAGGGAAATCAATCTTGAGAAGAAACAAAAGTTGATCCTGACTTCGATACTATAATCCAATGCGATACACCATAATAATTGATTTTATTGAATAATAAAGATTGCATCAGTACTTGTAGAGAATATATAGAGAATCTCAATTAAAGTAGAATAAGAAATTATGGTAACAATTAAAAAAGAAAATACTTTCTCATCATTAAAAACTTTCTTGTATTTAGTGGAGTATATTTTGATGTTGACTTTTCAAAAATACCCTTGAATATGATGAGTAAAAGTGAGATTTGGTTGCCGAATATATCAATGATAAATATATACAATGTGTTAAGTAGGATTGCAATTAATAGAGATAAAAAATGACAATTTAATAAAAAATGAAAATGTCTTTCTAAGAGGAGTGAAAAATGAAAGAACAAAGGTTTTTAGTCATTATTAAGAACAAACAGTATACATATATACAATGAGAGAATTACTTAAATCGGATCAAAACATACTCGTTTTTCCTAAATAGGACTATATGTTTTTATTTCTCTAACTAGTATCTAATTAATTAATTATTAGTATAAATGTACCAAAATGTCCCTTAAAGTTTCAAACACTAATTTAAAAGTGAAAGTTTGTGGGGGGGGGGGGTGCAGTGGTCAACCTATGTAGTCAGCACCAACAAAATTGTTACAGAAGATGTTATAGCACTGTCACTGTATAGGATGAAAAACAACATGTTATACCAACCTCTTCCTCACACGCACACAAAAAATAAAGAACAGTACACACGACACACAAATTGTTTACACAGTTCGGAGTAAAACCTCCTACATCTGCGAGGCCCACGTAAGTGTATCAGCCTTCCCACTATATCACACTAGAGTTTACACCCTCAATAACTATAGACTCGATCTAAGTATTGACCTAAACTCTAAATGAAAGGAAATGCATGAAACTCGGTTTGTGCACACATATCAAGAACTGTAACACTTTTCAACTTTTTTGAGACGTGTTGGTGGCCACGCTCCAGAATAGCTCATATCAACTTTTGGAACGCTCCTTGAATCTTCAATATCTCTCTTTATTTTTTAGCCTCAACCAGTCATCATCAATAAATAAACTTTATCAATAGCTCATGAAGATGATGACTAGCTGACTAATAAGAACTCTCTTAAAGATATATTCACTCTACGTAAATTTCTGTGTTTTTCACTGTCACCTCAAGTGAATAGCACACCTCATATTTATAGGAAGCAAACCTTACTAGAGTCTCAGTTCAACTCCGCTTTGCGATGCGACGTTGGTAGTGCAGTGTCCATCTGATGCAAAACTCCAGGTAAAGAGGTAGGACTTGTGCAAACTATATCTTCAGGAGTTTAGGTTCTAGTACATAGCTGCTACAAGATGTTTTATTACGCCCAGACCTCTTTTTAAAGAAAATCTCTTCGCAACCAAGTTACTCCGTATAACTTGTAGTGTGACGGACATGATGCTATAGCTCTATTCTCAACACAGCTAAACACACAATACTACTACACATGATTTTGTCAAAAAATAATGTCAACTATAAAACAGAATTAGGGAACCAATAATAACTTTATCCCGTCGTCACCCTACCATTCATCACGACCGATTATTGTCCATCACAACTGGCATTCATTGCCGACCGCCCGACCACCACCGCCGCCCATTAATTTTCTTCAATAATGTCTTCTACTTGAGAGACATTATCCACTATATTCAAAGTCTTTATATTCATAACGAAAAAGACAATATCCACAACATTTTAACCATTCTATAATGTCTGTTACATGCGCTGTCATTGCAATTTTAATGTCCTCAATCTTTTCTAATAATTTCCTCTGTCGGATGGACATTGTTTATTATGTTCAAAGTCTTTTTTATCCATTTAAGAAAAAAAGAATGTCTGTATCCTTAAATGTCCTTGTAGTGATGAGGAATGACTAAGACAACACACAAGAATATAGATAATTAACAAAAATGAGATTAAGAAGATCAAACCCCCAAAAATTAACAAGTCATTAAAAAAACTTTTTAAATTATAACAAAAGAGAACCAAAAGTTAAAAAAACCGTTAAACTAGATCAGAAAAAAGTAGATTAGAAAAGAAAATGATGAAATTATTTTGGAAAAAAGTCTGACCGTGTGTAGACGTCGGCTGCCACAGGCAACTTTACGAGGCAGGAGGGGCGGCGATGGCTAGCGGCGGCTTGAATGTGCAGGGGAGGGGGAGGTTATGAAGAAAATGAATTGAAAGAAAAAGAAGAAGAGTGGTGATCGGAAAAAACTTTAAATTGAAGATGTAAATTTGTAACGGTAGAAGATGTAAATAAATATGTTTAAGGGTACTTGAGCAAATGAATACTTCATCCTGAAAATCTTTCTATTTTCTTTTTTCATGGGTCCCAAAAAAACTTATATTATTTCTATTAAAAAATCACTTTTATTCCTATACTTTTAACCTACCAATGCAATCACGTCACATCTATTCCCTGTTAATCTACCTATGAGATCTTATTTTTTACTCATCACGATATTTTTGAAAACTCAATACCAAAATATATTTTACTTAAATCACTTAAGAATAAAGACCTTTCATGTTTTTTGGGAACGGAGGCATTATTATTATTTAATAATTAATTAATTAAATCCTATATACAGAATAAAAAGTAAGATGAAATGGTCAATGTTTTACTTGGTAACAAATTTTACATATACAATACCGAATAACTTATTCAATGAATTTGAACAGTACACGAATGTAACAGTGTCCCCCGACATACAAACAACTATTCCACTGAGAACAATGGTCGAGGATACGTATAAAACAAAAACACCATTCTAAACAAACAAATTACAGAAGGCTGCGTACAACTACTCCCTACAAATGAAATGAACATATGTACTTTTTCTGTGTAACGTAACGTTCGCCGGAGCTGGTAGAGAACATCATTCACAGCAAATCCTCCAAATCCAAATCCGACGGAATTTCAAACAGTTTCCTCAAATCGCCGCAACAATCCCTTTCTTTCTCCTCCTCCTCCTCCTCCGCGCTGCCCCCGCCGTTGTTCACAAACGCGGCGGAGTCTGCCGCAGGACTCGACAAGGGCGTACCGGACGAACCAAACGCCCCCGGGCTCCACGGTTTACCTCTCAATAAATGTGGCTCGTGCGGCTCATCCGCTCCAAAGTTATAGCCGTAGTCGTCCGTGTGAACCGAACTTCCCGTGTCGGCCGCGGCACTCATGTGCCGCGGCTGCATGTTATCAGGCACCGCACACGTCGAGACATGATGATGGGTGCCGTTCATTATTAGGGCATGGTTTTCCTGCAACAGTCTCTGGAACAACATCTGGCGGTCGTTTGAGAGGCTCTCTTGAAGAAGAACCTTTTGCAATAGCATTAAAATGCCATGATGCCCATGGTGAATATTAGGAGCATATTCGTTGTTCTGTGCGGCGGCGGTGGCGGCGGTCATGAGAGTGCTGCTCAGAAGACTCCTCGTCATCATGACCGCCTCCGGTTGGTTCATTAAGGCAGCTGCGGCTTGTAAACCCAGCTGCTGGTGGAGCAGGCTGGAGAGGTCGAAAAGATCGAGGCGGCATGGGGTATGGGTCACCGGATCGATTCCGCTCTTGAGAAGTCTCTTTTTGACGTGAGTGTTCCAGTAGTTCTTTATCTCGTTGTCTGTCCTCCCGGGTAACTTTGCCGCTATGGCCGACCACCTGCACCGTATATAACTTTAGATTATCTTTTAATTGGTGCAAATTAATTCAGAAAACGTTAATAAGACTATAAATATGGATGGATGGTCTTAGAATTAAGATAGTAGCATGCACTTGTTTCCAAGGGTACTATGGAGTTGGATAATAGTCTCTTCTTCTTCAAAAGAGAATTCTCCTCTCTTTATATCCGGTCTCAAATAATTGGTCCAACGCAGGCGACAACTCTTTCCGCATCTTTGAAGCCCTACATAAACATACACATATATATACATATGAAATTTGCCATGAGACAGTTTGACTTTTTGGGAAATTAAGGGAGAAATATTTTGGTATTGAGTTTCCAAAAATACCCTTGATGTGATGGGTAAAAGTATGATGTGATGGATAGATTATTAGAAAAAAGGTATGATATGATAGGGTAGAGTATGAAAAAGTAATGGGTAAAAGTGGTTTTTTAATAGAAATGTAATGGACTTTACAGGACACAGTTTTTTCTAAATGTAACAAACTTTTTGGGAGGTTAGTATAGATTTAGGCGGCATGCATGCATGCAATTCAGTCGTGTGTGTGTGTGTGTGTGTATGTATGTATGTATATATATATATATATGGGGTAGGTATTACGAACATACCGGCATTTTTAGGGAGGGTACGCCAGCTGCCGGGACCGTGAGCTTGAACATAATGGATGAGTTTGAGGTCTTCTTCGGGAGTCCAAGGACCTTTCTTCAGCTCGTTTTTATCACAACATGGAGATCTGCCCATGATTAATTATATGTATATTATATATACTACGTATATATATTCTTCTAGCTATACTAGATAGCTGTTTGATTAATTAATTACTCTCTAGCTATATTATGGTATGGTAAGAGAAATTAAAGATGATGGACAAAGTGAAGAAGAAACTAAGCTAGCTTAGGAAGTTCCATTGAGAGGGATGCATATATGATTGCCCAAATTTATAGGTGAGAAGCTAATTAATCATGGAAATCGTTTTAAAGTCAAGACAATTTGGCGCCGGCCATGTCCCATGTCAACTTTTTTTTTTACGTAGCCTCCAGCCGGAATATATTATCACCCACTGTTCTCTGGGCTATTTTTTTTTATCTTATTTACTTCATATCACCCCTAGGCTTTTTAATCGATCCAATTCGACCTAGATCGAATATCATAAACATTGAAGATGAAGTACTCTCTCTCCCCGGGAACGGAATTATATTCATGTTTATTTGACATGGTAACGAGGAATTTACTTAAATAGCACTAAAACATAATGACTTTCCCTAAATAGTACTACATGTGTTTTTCTTCTCAATGTAGAACTTTTAATCATTATGCATTAGTCATTATTCAAGTAAATATTCGTCATCACTAGACATTATGAACATTATTAAATGTTATTTAAGGAATAAAACAGTTTAAGTGCTATTTAGGGAAATGACTTAAGTTTTAGTGCAAATATTTCTTTTTTTATTAAAGTGGAATATGAGTGATTATGATTTATGATATGTTTTTTTTAAAAGAAAAATATTATCTCAAATAATCTCACATGTTTGCACTCTTTCAAAAATAATCCACTTTTTACTGTAAAAAAAATAATCTCTTCTTTCCGTATGTGTGCGAGTTTTGGATCACCGTTAAAAAACTAACAGCCACTTGACGAATTTTTTTAAAAAACCCCATTTTTTGCAAATAAATGAAAGATGAGATTATTTTAGGTAGATTTACTTTTTACTTTTTTTTATTTTTAATTTAGAATTAATATTTTAAAAATATAATGGTACACTCTTGTTAGAGATTTATCTAACGATTTACAAATTTTTTTGTGTTCTAGGAAAATATAATATTGAATTATCAAAAATAATTCAGAGTATCGATCAAGAAAGAAATTGTAATACAAAAAATTATGGTGAGTTATAAAATTTATTAGTGCCGTTTTGGGAGAAAAAATGTGCCATTTTCATAACTTTTGAATTACTATTTTGGAGAAATACATGTACTGAATTATCCAAAAAAAATCAAAAAATTGGTAGTTCCATTTTAATGTTGTTTCACAAAAAATATTTATATAGAATTATCGAAACATATTCACAAGTTTTGTAGTGCCAGTTTTTAAGAAATAATAATAATATAGTATCAAAAATAATGCAAAGTGTCACTCAAGAAAAATAATTGCAAAATACAAAAAAATGTAGTGAGATATGAAGTAAATAAATTAGTTCTATTGTGTAGAACAATTTACTTTTTAACTATTACCAGATTATCAATTATTTAAAAAACAAATCGTTTCACTCTAAAAACCATTTAAATTTGGTAATATTTTTCCAAATTTTTTTAAAAATACATTCAAATTTAAAGTTAGAAATTAAAAAAAACAAAAAAAGAGAATTTTCCTAAAATAATCCCACCTTGCATTTATTTGTGAAAAACAATTACTTTTGAAAAATTCTATTAAGTGACCATTAGTTTTTTAATGGCGATTCAAAACTCGCACACATATATGCAAAAATGTGAGATTATTGTCGACGACAGTGAAAAATGAGATTTTTTCTGAAAAAGCAAGAAAATGTGAGATTATTTGAGATAATGTTTTCTTTTAAAAAAAAGGAAAAGGAAAAGAAAATTTTGCAATAATCAAAATAAGAGACAAAGAAGATAATTAAGGGATGAAGAAAAGTATATTTTACTTCACCAAGGTTCAAGCGACATTGAACCTTGATGTCATAGGATGACCCGGGGGCGCTCCGGTGCCCCGTTCGTAAAATTGACGGTTCCTACCCCCACTAACCTCCGGGTAAACTCTCCCACCCGGCTCCGACCCGAACACCCCCCCCCCCCTCCCACCCCCTTCAATTGCATGCTCAAGTTGATTTTGACTTTGGAGTCCCCTTATCATTCACATCTATTTACTATTAATCTATCCATGAAATCTTACTTTTATCCAGCACATCAAAATGCATTTTTTAGAAACTCAACACCAAAAATTAAAACATCCTATATATATATATATATATATATATATATATATATATATATATATATATATATATATATATATGTATGTATGTATGTATATGTATATATATATGTATATGTATGTATGTGTATGTGTGTGTGTGTGTGTGTGTGTGTGTATATATATATATATATATCAAAAAATTTACATACCAAAAAATTACATGAAAAGTTCTTCGAAATAAGAGGTGTCAAGAATATTTTATTTTATCAAATAACAAATGAAAACGTAGAAATAAAAAAAAGTTGTCACGACTGCTGAAAAAGCAAATGTTGTGAATATTTTGAGACGGAGTGACGGTGTATTAGGACAATAAAAGAGAAAGAAAGAAAAAAAAAAGGACTTGACAATGCGCTGGCAAAACTTGAGTGGTCAAGATTTGATGAATTGGAGAGTAAAGGACAAGTCTCAAGTTAGAAATGTGGTTTTGACCTTTACCCCCAATCAAAGGTTTTAAACTGGAAGATGATAATAATACAGTAGTAGTGGGTATGGTAGTTCGGCTCTCCCTACTTCTTAATTACTGTATAAGGAAGCTAAGCCCTTGAAGCTAAGCATTGTGATTGTTTCCTTTACTTAGCTTCCTTCTCACAACTACTAGATGAAAAAAAAGAACTTTTAACAATTGCGTCAACTCAATCCATCTTATTAAGCCCTCAATCTCAATAACAATAGTTCTACATCGTAAAATCATCTTCCCACTTTCATTTTTCTACGTTCTAAAATTGTCTTCTCGCTTCTTCAAAGAAAAACATGACCCTTTCATCTTTTATTCCCCATCCTCCCCACATTTACACTCCCCTCTTCTCTTCCACTCAATTAAGTCTCTTAGCTTTATCTTCCTCTTGTCTCTCTTTCTCTTCTTCTCGCCATTCTCTTTTTTTACAGAAAAAAAAGAAAGTGACTGTAAATATGTAGAGTTGATTGAGAAGAAGAGAGACCGTCTCTTTCCTCTCCCAAGACCAGCATGCTAAAGAGACTCGATCATCTAACAGTTCGTCGTAGCACCAACCTAGTGTCGCCCCGAGCAGTTGGTTGCTTAGCTTGTGGCGCACAAAAAAATTTTGGAGTAAAAAATTTTGACTTCAAAGTCAAAATCAACATGTTGGGTGCAATTAAAGGGGTGAGAGTGTGTTCGGGTCAGGGCCGGGTGAGGGGTTTATGGGGGGGGTTAGGAACGGGGCACCGGAGTACCCCTGGGTCATCCCATGACATTGAGGTCCAATATCACTTGAATATAAATTGGTGTTCGCGCTAGTTTTTGTATATATGTAAATTGATTTTTACCATGACTTGCGTATCCAAAATAACTCCAATCACACCTTTTCAAGGGACATAATATGGAAGTCAAAACTCAAACTCACAAAAAAGGTGGAATTTGTGTGAAATATCATAAACTGAGAACGATCAAATACTATGAAATGAATATATGAGAGCAATATACTCCATATATCTGCAAGCTAAGTCTCATACTTTATATCAACGTTATGAAAACAAGACCGAACATCAAATCGGATAAGTAAATGGGCCGAGGATCAATAGATTGAACCGTTTGATTCAGATATAAGTAAAAAATCATGGGCCGGGGGCGGATGCACATTGATCTTAATGGGGGCACTTACCCCCAATGACTTAATTTTTTTTAAATAAAACCCTAATTTTTTAAATCTCAAAAATGCCCCCTACTAAAAGAAATTTCTATGCCCCCATTAATTTTCCAAAACCCCACTTTTGTAAAAAAAAAAGGAGGTCACAACATTTTCAAATCTTTAATAAAAAATTAATTTTAGTAATCTATTTATAAGTGCATTCTAAATTTAAAATAGGTTATTGACTTAATTATAAAGGGAGAAGGATCAAACTAGGAGTAAAAGTCAGGTTATATTTTCAAATAGGAGCTAAAACTTAAACTCCTCTAAATAGGAGTAATTAATTAATTTTTATCCTCAATTCTCTCTTCTCACACTCTTCTCCCATCCTTTGTTTTTTTCTTTTTCTTGCATGCGTGTGTATTTACACACTGGGGGACTAGGCCATCCTCGCTGTACATTATGTTGACCAAATCCTTCGCCTATGTAAGATTAGGGTCAGTTTGGTATATGGAATAAGTGGAATTGGAATTGAATTGGAATTGTAATTTCATGGGACTCAATTCCATAGAATTGAATTCTGTCAATTTCAATTCATTTTTTGCACTATCAATTCCAAATCTACATAATTTTTGTGCTACCAAACAATAGAATTGGAATTGAAGTCCTCAATTCCAATTCCATAGTTTGAATTCCATGTACCAAACGGAGCCTTAGAGTCTGGATGGCCATGCCCAAAATCCTCAAGGGGCACACCATTAACTATACATTCCAAGCTAGCTCCGAGCATGTCACCAAAAATAGGCTTTGCATAAGCACCAGTAACCGCATGCATCACATTGAAGACAAACCTGAAATCAGGTCTGGAGATCAAACCTTTGATGAGCGAAAAGTCAAATAACTACTCAATTAGCTCCAAATAATCACCGACACTCTGTAACATTTCTAACACCACCATCACACTCTGCACAGTCTCCGTCGCAGTGCCACATTAACATGGCTACATATAATATCACATATGGTAATGCATAATGCCACCGATTATCATATAATGTCACATATGGTAATGCACGATGCTACAAATTATCATATATAATGTCATTGTTGCAAATTCAAAATGCCAAACAAATGAATAATATCAAACACAACCACTGACCTGCAATAAATCCAATAATATAACCAGTGACCGTCCACCATCTCACGGCTACCGTTATGGCAGCCG